GCACACGCACACGCACACACGAACACACACACGCTCACAGATGCATACGCACGTACAAACGCACACACACTCGCCACGCCCACCGCTACGAGAGCTTTTGGTTTATTTAAAGGTTATGGTCGTGTGGTTCGGTCTTTTAATGGTGTCTACGGACTGTTCATTTCATTCTAATGGAGGAGGGGTCGAAAGTGGCAGGCCTATGTGATGTTTTAGTTTTTTTTGAGGGATATTTCACCGCCTCAGCACGTGGCAAGGAAATCGTGCGCGGCGCAGCTCGTACGATCCAGCCGCCCTCCCCCCTCCCTCCTCCCCTCCCCCTCTCCCTCTTCTCCTCTCCCTCTGCACTTCTTCCCTGACTATTCCCCTCCTTTTTCGACATATCCCCTCTTCTGTTTCTTTCTTCCTATTCCCTTCCTTCTGCTCGTATCTCCTCTTTTCATCTTGCCCTCCCCCTTCCTTCCTTCTCGTATTTATTTTTTTCTTCTTCCTATCCCCACTTTCCCCTCCTCTACCTTCACTCCCTCCCTATCCCCCTTCTCGCATCTTCTTTACTCTCCCTCCCTTTCTATCCCTTGTTATTTCCCTTCTTCCCCTCTCCTCCTCCTCCTCTTTCTCCTTTTTGCATTCCATCGTCTCTCCCTTTCCTTTTCCTCCTTTCCCCTACCCTCTTTTCGCCCCTCCTCTTCCCCTCCTTCCACCATCTCTCCTCACTTAGGGCGAATACAAAAACCGTTGACAATAATTAGCCTAAATACATCATGCATCTCATTACCTCTCCTTCATTTACCTATCCCCCCCCCCATTTTCCCTCAACCCATCCGGACCCCCCGCCTCGCCACCTGTACTTTGCCCCCTCCCATCCCATCTGGTCCCCTCCCCCCAAGAAGCTACGCCCTGTGGGGGTAGAATATCCCTCCGGTTTAATCTTATCTGAGTGTATTCCATGACTTCAGTTCTCTTAAGGGCCTCAGCGTCATCGGCACCGGAGTTTGAAATTGCCGCGTCTGTGTCCAGATCAGCTGTTTTTCGCTGAATGTTTTAGGTGAAGGCAAGGATGCAAAGATCAAACATATTGTTCATTTAAGCGGAACACATATGCACTGGAATGATGTTTTGCAATTTTGTAAGATGTATATGAGTATTTTTTGCCGGGTTGTTTTAATCATTCTTTTATTTTTTGCTTAAGTTAGTATCATTCTCTCTTTTATCATCTGTAGCTCACTTGTTATCGGTTATAACATCCTCTTGCGTGTATCCTTTGCGATTCCTTTCTCTCTCCTCGTCTATTTCTACCATTCTCTCTCTCTCTCTCTCTCTGTCTGTCTGTCTGTCTGTCTGTCTGTCTGTCTGTCTGTCTGTCTGTCTCTCTCTCTCTCTCTCTCTCTCTCTCTCTCTCTCTCTCTCTCTCTCTCTCTCTTCTATATATATATATATATATATATATATATATATATCGCCCTCCCTTTCTGCCATTCTCGATCTCTCTGTCTGTCTTGTATTAAACGTTGCAGCACATACCTCCATGTCACTTTAAATAAATGATTAATCATCAATCATTATTTGCCACACCTGCAACTAATGTCTTTATCAGGTATGGGCAACGGATAAGTACAAATGTAAGCACAAGAAAAATCCCGAAGTATAAAAACGTGCATAATCGCACGTACGCACGCCCATATTCCCTACAGTACGAACACAGCACCACTTGTTTCGGGCAATCGGAAAGCATGTGCAAATTCCACGGGATTTTTGTGGTAAAAGAAAACCATAGATGTAGTTTAATAACTTTGATGGGAAATATAATGACTTATCCTTTTGTTGTGGAAGCAATGCAATAATTGTGTTGTCGGTTCAAGGTGCACATTTTTAATAATAAAAATAACATCCAAGCGTGACATGGACTGTAACCGCAAGCTATAAAACACGTCGCGGTTTGTAACGGAATATCTTTTCGCATGAAACAATCCTGCAACAAAATTGAACTGACATGTAGGTTGTTGTCAAGATCGGCTCGCAATGACAGGTCTTCTGGCAGCCAAGGAATAATGTAGAGGTTCTGTGGGTTCTGTTGGTGTAGACCCCACATGAAAATGGGACAAAGCTACAGCAAAGAAGTTCTGTATGACGCTCCCAAAGTCCACCTGTTGTGCCTCTTTCTCGTCGCATGCTGACTCAGTTTCTTCCGTCCGCTGATGTCTTCGGGGATGTCCGGACTCCAGTCTGTCTGCACATCCACTTTGAGGGCTTCCTTCCCCCCCAAGTGATGCCAAGCACAATCCTCTCTTGAGCTCGTTGTGCAGAGTTCGAAGTGTAATTCCTTTATCGGGGTTTAGGTGATGGTTGGCGGTATTGGTTGTAAACTTGCCTTGTTAAGATCGTAGCGATAAGCTCGGCTGAATGCATGTCACTCTACCTCCTCTGTATATGTTTTCGCCGAGGTGCCTTGATGTGTTCTCAACTTTGATTTCAACATCATCAACACTTCAGTCTGTTATTATTTAGAATTCCTCTAAAGTCGCCTATGCACTGACTTCTGCTGACGTCATTGAGTTTCGCAAGTATTTCCTGTCGTCATGTAGACTTAGCAACAAGCAGCATGTCATAAACAAAATCCCAAATGATTCAGGTACTCTCCCTCGATCATGTCCCCCTCCCTTGTCTCCCATTGAGGCGTCTGTGGGGACTTTTGGTGAAGCCGACACACTAGTTTGAGGGGTTCGACGTCTTCGCGAAGTGGAATGAAAGAACTGCACTTGCTGTAGATGTCCTAGAGAGTACTGTAGTAGACTGCTACGATACCCTGTTGTTTTTAGAACAGGTTCAATGCGTAGGTTGTATTCTGTGATGTCTTCTTAACGAGTTTGTCCTGAAGTTTGTACATTAGTTTTTTGTCGAAGAGATTGTCGACCCTAATAGTCATGATTCAGGCGAAGACGAAATTAAGGAGGCTGACAGGTCTGTAGCTTCACATTATTCCAGTCATTCGGGAAATTTGTTTTGCGCTAAACAGAGTGTAAAATGGACGACAGCTGTAGTTTCTGAAAGATGAGTCGAACGTCGAAATGATCGCTTGTGATGGTATCTTGGCATCGAGCTTTGTCTGAGTGGTATTGGATAGCATGTTCAACTTGTTTCTCGGTGATCGTGAAGAGTCAGTGGAAACTCGTGGGTGATTTCGTCATCAGCTTTCCATAATATTTGATCAGCTTTAACGATTTTTATTAATTCAGTTTAGAATTTAAAATATATGTTATTCCAAAGATACTGATCTGAAACTAACAACAACAATAACAAAACGAGTGAAATTAAATTATCTGAACTTTAATAACATTAATAACGACCGATTAACAAGACCTCGAATCGTCTTACGCAACCCCCCCCCAAAACAACAACAACAACAACAACAACATTATTTGAAAACTATTATATTTAAACAGAACAAGATGGCATGCTAACTTGAAGATCATTTAAGCTCGAAGTCTCTCCTCTAAGCACCTGTTTCCGTGGCTCAGTCTGTCACCCGTGGGACCGGAGTGGCTGCTCTGTTGGGAATATTCCTATGATGCTCGCTGGGGTACGGCAGTGCTATGCTACGAGGCTATCCCTCCCTCTCTCTTTCCTGTCCTCTCTTCCCATTCTCTGTTCATTCTACTCTCTCTACTCGCATACTCCCTTCTCTCTCTCTTCCCCCTCTTGCCTCGCTTTACTTACTTCGCCACCCCGTCCTCTCTTTTATTGTTTACTCTTTTCTCTCCTTTATATTTACTCTTCCTTACCACCTCGCTCTCTCTTTTCCCTCTCCCTCTCTGTCGTTTGCTTACCTACCCCCTCTCTTCGCTCTTGCCCCCTATCTCTGTCTCCTCCTCCCTCACTGTCTCTCTATCTCTCTTCCCCTCCCCCTCTCTCTTCAACTCCCATCCCTCCCAGTACTTCCCCTCTCTCCCTGTCCCCCTCTCCTCCCCCTCCCTCCTCTCTTTTTTACTCCCCCTTCCCCTCCCCTCTCTCCTCAACACCCATCCACCTCCCTTGTACTCCCCTCTCCTCTCTCCCTGTCCCCTCTCCTCCCCCTCCCTCCTCTTTTGTTTATTCCTCTACCCTTCTCTCTCCCTCTCCTCTCCTACGACCCCCCCCCCCATCCTTCGAGTTGCATCATCACCCGCCTGTCCTCCCCCCCCCCTACCTCTCCTCTCCAGACCCAGAGGTTTCTAGAATTTTCCAGAATGAGGTGAGTTGCGACGGGAAGGGAGAGGTAAAGGGAGAAAGAAAAAGTTATAGAGGTGTGTGTGTGTTTGTGTGTGTGTGTGTGTGTGTGTGTGTGTGTGTGTGTGTGTGTTGTGTGTGTGTGTGTGTGTGTGTGTGTGTGTGTGTGTGTGTGTGTGTGTGTGTGTGTGTCTGTGTGTGAAATGATGGCTGATTAATGGTTTGAATGAATATGCTAGACATCGAAGATCACAGCACTTGAATTAAAAAAGAATATCTTCAAAGTTGAAAAGATATTCATTATCATTGAGACCTTTTCTTCCTTTAACAAAACGAACACAGCCCAGAGCGTCAAATTAAAAAGTTATTTCACCCGACTCTGGTATCGTTATTCAGTTCAATTTAACGGTCATGTGGTAAGGTGAAGTGCCTTGTTTCTATGTTGGAGAGGCCAAAGCTTCACTTGGGAGTACTGTGATATGGCACTCGACAATCCACATTTCCCAGCATCGACGTATAGGGAAGGCTAGATCAGTAGCAACTGGAGGAAGTGTCATGGCGTCTGACCAAATTTTTGAAAAAAAAGCACACGGGATTTATTTTGAAGTCCTCACAAAAGTTTGTTTTCTTTTCCAGTTTTCAAGGATGGAAGAGAATGATTTCAATGGTTATATTTTCATTGAACAATCATCAAAACAGACGCCATGACACTTCGAGATTCCTCTCCGTCATTAAACAAAACTCGCTGAAGTCGCATGACAAGAGGGAGAAACCTCGCGCGTATAGAAAACGTGTCGACA